ACCGATGCTTGCTTTTCTTTTTCTTCTGAGTAGAGAAAACATTATAGAGCTTACTTGCCTGATACCTCTACTTATTAGGGTAAATGTATGAAAAGTATGGTTGTAAGTCCTGTTGTTCTTACTAAAAAAAAGCCAAAAGAAGCAATGAAGCACTTTTTTAGACAGGTTATTTTAATATTAACAGCTTCATTATGTTTTGGTGAGTCCCTCTCCAGGTAAAACAAGTAAAAATTTAGTTTGTGTCTGTTTGTGCACAGTTTGTTTCTAGTCTTCATTCATTTATAGTTCAGTTTCAATTTGGGAGTGTTTATTTATGTAAAAATAGAAAATAAAGTTGTTTGGGAAGATGTCCTGAATCTGTTTTCTAGCTCTCGAGTCTTCAGATGGGATTGTTTTAACCAGCCATAAGTTTTGAGGCCTGTGAGACACTGTCATTCAAGCTTTGGTGCAACTCTTCTCTCAGTGGCTTCTCAGTAGCCGCTCTTTTGTTTGGTGAGTTTGTGGTGTTTTTCTTTATGAGTCTTTAAATAGAATTTTGTGGGTTGATATTTTGGGGGTTTGGGGAGTTTTTCCCTCCTGTAATTTAATGAGAATTTTGACATGCTGCTGTATGAAAAATCTCATTCCAATACTCCACATGTGGATAAAAACTTTCTCTTTTCCAGTGGCCCTGTCACTGAGAATTTTTCCAAGCGCAGCCTTAAAACAATATTGTTTATATTCCATAGCTTAACCAAAGAATTAGAGCAAAAAGTTTAAAAGTAAATGCAATGTAATGCCTATTTATTTTCATCTAATCTTATATTTCATTTGAAATTGGATCTGCTTTATTTTTAATTACAAATGCAGAAGAGAGCCATTCTAGTGAATACTGCATTCTCTTTCCAAACAGTCTGCATGCTCCCACTAGGCTTGTTAAATTGGTATTGCCTCCTAATGGCTCTTTAGTGTAAGCTACATCCCTACTGAAGTTAGTAAACACTATGCACTCATAAGATATGTATTTATTTGTAAGTAGAGAAACAGCTTCTGCATCTTAGTGTGTATTGAAAATAGTCTTAACTCTCTCTTTAAGTAAGATGCTGTCTTGCAGCACTTGTGGCTTGCTGCTGCCAAAAGCGAGAGGCCTTGCTTTGTGATAGCTTCCCTTGTATGAGTTTTTTGACATTCCTCCATATGTTAGTCGATTATACTAAACCAGCAGAAAAATATTCCTGTTTTCTTTTCCTGGATTTCTTTTCTTCCTTTTTAGTGAGTAAAATCTACTGTAAAGAGGACTGAGTGCTGGAGTTGGCACAAGGTAGGAGCAGGAGCCACTTGGGATGGAAGTGGGGACTGGCACTCCACCCTTGAGGCATTGATTTGTTCACTTCCCTATGTTTTGTGTGACCAAGCCAGTGATTTATCTAGGCCTACTCATTGTTTCTTAAAATTAATTTTTTTCTGAAACTTAGGTAGTTACATCACCCTTCTTCTTCTTTCCGCTGTATTGCTTTATCATCCTTTGTTGTGGAGCACGTGATTTATTCATGTTTGCGTAGGAAATTGTTAGCATATGACTTTTTTATGGAAGAACATATAAAGCTGTTACAAGCATATTGCATGTTTATGTACATTTAGCTGATACATAAAACCTAACAGTAGGGGAAATCAATGCACATTAGTTCTTGAGGCTCAGCTGAAATACTGTTTTGGTAGCTCTAGGTCACTCTTAGGGCATTAGTGTATTAGAGATATATCCAGATTTTAAATGATCAAGTGTAAGTCAGTCATCCTTGCTGGAAGATTCCCCTTGAGCTTATGAGTGATTGGAGCACTTGTACTCTGCTGAGATAAAAACATACAAGTTGGGCTCTGAGCAAGTGTGCAGTGCCTCTCATTTATTGCACAAGAAGGAATGGAGAACTGTTCTGAATGATCAGTTTGTTGCTGGCTTACTTCCGTGGCTGATGAACTAATTTGATAACGCCTAGACGCTCTTATTTTTATGCTGGAAAATCCCTATTATGATCTCTTACTAAAGATGCAATACAGTTTGGTACCATGGTGTAGATAGAAAATGGTTATCTTTGGTCTGCAAAAATTGGGGTAGGGAGAGGGTGGAGAACTTGGTCATATAAGAACAAAGGCTTTTTACGTATCTTTTTCCTTTCAGCATCTCAAGAGGAAAGATCCATTTTGTGCAGAAATAAGTGATTTCCAGAGGACAGCCCCAATGACAGAACTGTCTGCACATTTACCCCAGTTTCAGCATGGGCAGCTGACAGAAAACTTCCCTGATAACCACCTCAGCAACACCGTATGTAACAAACAATTTTATTACCTGGTAGCAGTTGAATCAGGGTGAATAACGAGTGTGGATGAAAATACAGTTCAGAACTCTAGAAATCTGTTTGTTGGGAGTAGTTTTCTCTGTCTGGACTGTTGTGGTGATAAGCAGTGCCAAAAGAAATATTTTGTAAAATATCTCATATTCTAAACTAATTTTTTATATACAGTTAAGAGTTCCCCCAGTTTAAAGTGGTGTTAGAGTGACCAAGCTCTCAAGAAAAATAAGAAAAAGGGATGGGAGGCTCCCGTGTCAAACATTGACTTTTAGGGGATTTGGTGAGCTCTCTTGATCTAGCCTGGCTGTGGTCTGCTTGATTCACAGGTTTCTCAGTCACAGAGTTAATTTTAGGCTAGGTAGAGCGTGAAGCCTGGGGTTTGTTGTTGCTGTTGCTGGAGGACTACTCCCTAGCAGGAAGAGCAGCACTTGTGGTGTCTTGTGAATAATTGTCAAGGTGCTCTCAGAGTTCTTGAGGTTTTGGAGGGGAGGGGGAACTCAAACCGTAAAGTTTCATATGATTGCTTTGAAAGACCTAAGCACATAATTGTTGCTAAAACTGTACTCATTGTACTGTATGTGTTTTGGTAAAACCAAGTTTAGGTGATCTACTTGGGTGTGGTGCTCAGGCTCTTGGATTTGTCATGCTGAATTCTTTGTTCCTGCTGTAGCTCTTGAATATCAGGTTTCCTTGTGACACAGAAATGCCCTTGTGAGGCTGGGCCACTTGTAGCCATGTTTATGGCAGTGATTCAGGAGAATATTTTGATCCCTGCTCTAACTCTGCTATGTAATCCAGCAGTTTAAGTAGAATTTTGAAAAATCCTTGTTATTAGATCAGCATCTTGCTATATCAGTAAAAATATAAAACATTTGAAAACTTATTTTCAAATTAAAAGTCAATCTGACTTAAGACCTTACTGATTCTAGAAACTGTTAATAAAACTAGAAAAGTGGAAACTTTCCTATTGCATCCTTTGTGCTTTTACTTTAGAAGGAATGAAAGTTTCTTTTCATTTTGGACAGGTGAGAGATTTACCTTTATTGAACACTTCTGCCAGATGAAAAAGGCAGAGCTCAGCAATAAACTGTGGGCTCACCATCCTTACAGATAGCTCGGTGATGCTCCTTCCCAGTAACGGGGGATGGATGGTTCTATTTACTTCTCACTAACAGACTGTATTGATGAATAGCTACTACTTGTGCTTTTTCCTTCCATGTTTAAATGTAACTCTAGGTGTAATATCAATACTTAGTTGGAATGATTTTTCTCCCCTACACATGTCTGCTTTGGTTTTGGACATATGTATGAAAATCCTTTCCTGCTTAAATATATTTAGGTTCTGTGGCTAACAGCATGTGAAATCACTCAGTTACTATAATTTGCCATCTCTTCTTCTAGTCACACACCAAGAGTTCAGTCCAGCCTGCAATATCTGTCACCGTATAATGACCTCTAAACATAAATGGTGTGTGTGAGAACTAACGAACTCTGTGCCCACAGTCAGGCAAGGGGGTCTGCTCTTGATGGATAAATCTGGATTTAATAAATAAAAACTTTTAATCAAATATGCTAGTTTATCTTTTGGTTCAGGGGCATTGCTCTGGGTTTGCTATTAACTATTTTACTGATAGGGGACAAAACCCCTATCATTTGCTTTTGATACTGTTTATTCACCTGAAAGCGCGTAGTTCGTAACTTACGTTTGCTTACGGTGTCACAACAGGTGTTACTGACTTTTTAGCTTCAGAATTTTCACTTTTAACTATGTCTGAGGAAAGTGAAGAGTCTGTTCCTTTGCTTCCACTTCAGCAAGAGTCCATGGCCTCTGCTCTGTTTAATACTGATCAGGTAGGATATGAGTGCACTTTGTTCTTTTAAGCAGTGGGGCACGCGCATGTCACGTTTAGATACGCTTCGGTAGCCTGAAAGGACAACTTTTTTAGAGTTTTAACAGTGAATGAGGGAGTAACTCTTACAACTCTTTAGATGCTGATCTGGTTTTCATGCACTGTGTTTTAACATGTAAAGGCATTTTGTGATTGTGTCTTTGTTCCTAACTAGTGGAGGGAATAAAATGGCACATATTGGTCTAATTTCTTCAGGTTTTCTCTTTATGTTTGATTTTGCAGGTTTTTTGTAGCGGTGTGCTAGTTAACCAGCCTTTTCCTTTGGCTGTTTTTGTGTTTGCTTTGCAAAGCTGTAGATTTTTATTTTACATTTTATATTTCTGTGCCTAAGATAGGGGTAAGTCCTTCCTCATGCAGGACTGTTATTACAGCAGAGAAAGAGCAACGTATTCTGCAAGTGTGCAGAAACCTAAATACTTGGTCTGCTTTATTTGTGAAGTGTTCCAAGGCTCTGATCATCTCCAATGTAGTGTTATTTATGATCATCTTAGGTAGTTTATTTAGACAGGTAAGCTTATTGTTCTGTTGTTGTAGACTGAGACAAATAGAGTATATTACTATCAAAGTGAAAAATGTTACATTTGAGCTATAATCTGTACAGAAAGAGTTTCAGTTGCAGCCAGCATTTCAGAATAATTAAACATGATCTCTTTATTTGCATTCTCCCATATTCCTGTTTTTATCTGACCTTCAATAATTGTATGCAAGGACTTTACACAAAATACCAAGTGATTTATAATGGATCTGTCATTTAGTAAGAAATAATATTGAAGCTAAAATCTTTTTCAGGACATACTTAATTTTAGTTTAGTATCATTAACTAAAGGTTAAAACCTGAATTCTAAAAATCCGGTTGCTTGTTAGTTTTAATTGTTTAATTAAGACAATTTTAGATTTTCTTTTCCTCCCCTTACATTCAGTTTCCTTTTTGAAAAATAAAGCACATTTTCTTAGAGGACAGTTCTTGAAATCCTGCTGAGCTTGAGCCTGAGGATACCACAAAAAAGGGGTAAATAGGCAAAGCATTCGGTGTGTATTGTTACTTTGTAATGTTTTGTAAGAGGAAATTTTTCATGAGTTGGGGAAGTTGTAAAGCTTCAACCAAGGTTTTAGCAGTGTCAGTGTTTGCAGTTCAAAGTCCAGGGACTTGTACTCCTTAATCACTTAAGTGCTTTTGAAAACCCCACTGTGAGTTCCTGAGTGTATACTTAACATCTTATCTTTTCGGAGGGTGGGGCTGGGAAAATTCTGTGTAAAGAATCTCCAGAATTACTATTAATTTATCAAAAAACTGCAGTGAGTTAATGAGATGCAAGTGAGCAGTTATGTTTGGAAATACTATTAAGAACAGGTAATGAGGCTTGAACATTGCATGTGTAAGGAAAAAATTACCCTTATAAGAGTACTTATGCAGAAATTCATTAGTTTATTTTCAATGCCCTATCTTATGTCTACAACAATTTTATGAAAACGGAGTGACATGTTAAAGGTAGTGCAAAAGGTATTTTCCTTCAGTTTATTGTACATTTTAATTGAAAGCTGCTTTAGCACACTTATTCAAACCGAACCGTTTGTAAATGAAGTAATTCTGAAGAAATGAGATTCATTTTGTAAGGAACAAAAAATATTTGTGTTACATCTCTTATGTTAAACCTCTTGAGTGGAGAGAATAGGAACAATACAACATTGACTTTGGATGTGGTAGTGATACAGGAGGAAAAAAAAAAAAAGTAGTCTGTATAAACTGTTGCATTTTAGGACTTGTTTAGAGTGACTGGTAAACATAAAATGGTTTTGTTTCTTCGTAGTCCAGAATAGGTGAAACATAGCTCACTCTCCTGTTGTGTTCTCTGTATATACGCACAACATACAAAAGGCAAAATGCCCACTGCTGATGGGGCTTCTTGGAGAGGGGGCAAAAGGTTTGTAACAGCAGGCCTGATCATGTATTGTAAGTGGTGTTCCCAGTTTGTGTTTTCACTTGTGGTTAATCTTAATTTTGTTGACAGTTTACCTCTGTCCTTGCCTATGAGTCATACCCTTGATGTTTCATGTAGCAGTATCAGGAAGGCTAGGAAGCTTTTTCATATTTGTTGACAGAAGTGGTGAAATTTCTTCAATGTCAGTGAAAGGATGTGGCAGTAGTATAGTTGGGAAAGGAGAGAAAGAATCTGCAGACTTAGCTCATCACACCAAAATTTTGGGATCAAATCTCAGAATAAAGACTGAAAACTACCTGAGTTTGATCACCATTTCTGTCTCATTCTTTTCGCTAAAAATGTGAGTACACAATACCTTGTGAAAACTCCATTTTAATATATATTCTAGTTAGTGTACTGTAGTGGGAGTAACATGGTAAGGAAAGTAGAAATTTTCTTGGGCCTTTCATGGATTTAACATCATAAATGTCTGTTTGGCATTATTTCTAGGAACAGATATAGTTAGTTCTTGCCAAGCTATGAGTAATCTACTATCATGCACCCTTGTATCAACTGTAGTTTGGACCAAAGGAAAAAGCTGTCTGTCTTCAGCTTTTAAAATTCAGTTTAAAGGAAAGGTGACAGACTTTTAGATGAAACCAGCCCTACTTTCAGCTGCTGCTATTTTTCATATAAATGCTTCTAATGTAACCTTGTGCTCCTATTCTTTTGTTAACTATGTGATGCAATTATTTACTACTGTTTAAGTCCTTGCTGCAGCAAGTGTTCTTGACAGTGAATATTACCTTACACATTTCCCCCTCAAGATCGTCTTTAGCTTAGCGTACAAGAATATGCTTGTGGATAGTTGCTGAGGAAACTTTTCTATGTATTGCAGAATGACAACAGTGAAAGACGTCGCCATGATAATAGTGAGCGCAGAAGAAATGACAATGCCGAGTCTGAGACCAATGGGCAGCCGCAAAACAACATGCAGCAAGTGGTGGAACAAGACGAGGAAGATGAGGAGCTGACACTGAAATATGGGGCAAAACATGTGATTATGTTGTTTGTACCTGTCACGCTTTGCATGGTGGTCGTTGTTGCAACCATCAAGTCTGTCAGCTTCTATACACGCAAGGATGGACAGCTGTATGTATCAATTTTTTCCCCCGTCTTTTTAATGGACTCAAATAATTTTCTTTAATCTCCATTTCTTCAGGAGTCTAATTCAAGCAGTGAACTCCCTCTTGCCTCCCTTTTCTCCTCCACCAGCCTGAAGATAGTTCTGTTTTATTCCTTCCAGAAACCGGACTCTATATTCGTGGTACTATTGACATTTGTTGTCTGATTGGTGACCAGTCGGGATAATACCTTGGGTGTTACTGCTCGATTCAAATCCTAGTCCTTGTTTTGATACTTTATCATTCCCTGTGGTATTTATAAAATCAACTCAATCCTAAGCCAAAGCCATTTCAGTTGTACTCTGCTAGAATACAAAGATTTTTGGAAAAGGAAAAAACCTACTTATTTAAATGAAATAACATAGATGCCAAGTTCTGGTCTTCCTATACTGTTTGATAAAGAAATTCAAATGCAAGAGGAAGATAGCTTTGTGAGGTTCACTTCTGTTGCAGTTACAGAAACTTTCCTGACAGGTTTCCTGTATAGAATTTTTTTTTTTTTTTCCAAAAATATTAATGTTGCCAAAAAAAGCAATTTCAGTGAAAGCTGGTTTGAGAGAAAGGAGACAAAGGAAGAACACTGAGCCTGTCAGAACCTGCAGCGAATCAGTCTAAATGTTCGGTTGTGAAAACATTTAGACAAAATGATTCAAAGTGTGTTTGGCTCCGAAATGTTTGTGTAATATAAGCATGTCATAAAATGTTTCAATAAAACACTAAGTTCTTTTTCACTGTCAAAGTTGTTGATCAAGGAATTATTTTTCTTGAGATTTATGATAAGTGTTTTCTCGACCTCTTCCCCATAATGAAGTGGGTTTTCCCCCAGGTTGTATTTCTTTAAGAAAAAGAGAGTTGAGCCCATACATTGTTTTGTTGAAATCACTGGGGAATCTTTCATTGTAAATCCACTAGATGGTGTGCTTATAAAGGTCTAGCTGCAGTAACAGTCTAATGATTGGTAGCATGTGAGTAATTGTATCAACCAACAGCGAGTTCTGGTTTTGTTTGTGTTACAAAGTAGAAAATAGTAATCGAAGAATGTAGGAAAGGCAAGTCTTCCAGGAAATTTTTTTTTAATTAAAGTTTGCCTAATATGGTAGTATTCCACCTTTCAAATTTTGCGTAAGTAGAAAATAATTGTTGCTTTTACAGCTCTGAATTGAAAGATTGCAATTTCATTTGATGTTGGCCTCACATATCAGAAACATCTGTGCGTTCAGTGGCATTTCAGTTGACTCTTTGTTGTTGTAGCATCTACACTCCTTTCACAGAAGAGACAGAGACAGTAGGACAGAGAGCCCTGAATTCAATTCTCAACGCGGCCATCATGATCAGTGTTATCATTGTCATGACCATACTCCTGGTTGTGCTTTACAAATACAGGTGCTACAAGGTGAGTATGAATATAATTGACTTGAGTAATTGTGCTAGTTTTGTTTATTAGTACAGATTATCGAGAATGGAACAAAATGAAGTGTTATCAAGGATGAGTGAGCAAAAGTAGCAGAATTGGTGATTCAGTTCACTGTTTCAATTTTGTGGCTTCTGTTCCTTTGACTCAACGGGGAGGGAAAGGGCCGGTGCTACCACTGCTGGCTGTTTAGTGGGGGAGAATTAGGGTGGCATTGCTTCCTATTCCTGTGAAATGTACCATGTACTGACATCTTCCTGTGGTCAAGAACTACAAAGTACAGACCTGATCCAACAATTTGAAATCTATTCAGGACTTCAGGGGCTTTTCAAGGGCTCCCCTCTCCCCACCCTGTCCCCAGTATAGAAGTCTCCCAACAGTGTGATGTGTGCATGGCTGTACACACCAGGCAATATCCTTAGAGCAAACACAGAGACTCTAAGGCTCTTTTGTGAAAGACTTCAATCGTACAGTGATGTGATCTAGGCAAGTCCAGGCTTGGCATAAATAATTGCAATGTCACCTGCCTGGGAGGGTTGTTCCTGAAAATTCCTGGTTGTCTTTTGGTCTTACTGACTCATTTGACAAGGCTTGGCCTAATAAAACTTCCCAGTGTGCAGCCAGAACCTTGAATCAGTTTGAGTTGTAAAACAGGCAGTGGAATCTGTGCACTGGCACAAAGGTTTGTGTCACTTTATTTTGTTTTCAGGAGGGAAAAGTAATTTTGGTCTTCATGGCTGTGGGTGAAACCCCTTTACAAATTGTCTTGAGTTACTGGAGAAATTATTTCTGCCTGAATCTGCATACAGCTTGGAAAAGTGTTTTTTTTAAAGCATGGACCTTCTCTTTTATCACAGCGTGGTGTTAAATCTGAACTGACAAGGTTTTCTTTTTAAACTGTCAATTCTGTTCATTCCGGTGAAGGAACATCATAACTGATGTACTTCAGCTAGGTTCCTGGGCAGCCAGTTGGTTCTCCTCAGGTGCTGAAGGCATCAACTAGTTTTTACTCAGCTTTCACTCTTGAACTTACAAAGCACTGCATGCTCTCCTTACAAAAATAATTGTTGTACTAAAAAATTAGAATGATTAGACAACAAAAAAATCCTGTAGTTATATTTTATGCTAATTAAAAGAAATAATTAACTTATTTTTAGAATTGCTAGCAGTATTTCTATGCTGCTATACCAGAATGCTGTAAAATGTAGTTACCTGTCCATTGAATTCTATTTTACATGCAGTTCTACATGTAGAATGTAGTCTAGATTATGGGAAATGGAACTTAGAATGAAAGAATGTTAGACCTCCAGCTGGTGGTGATAATTTGCTTATCTTCACAAGATTTTTATCTGAAAACTCCTTTGAAGAAAGGAAATACGATTTCAGTTTTACCACCGTTCATTTCCTGTGTTTCTCCTGTATGTGCCAAGTTAAGCATGGTCCTGATTCTAGCTCCTAAATCTAGCTAGAAACAGCATCTTTGAAGGTAATTGTAGTTGACTAGCTTTTCTTTCTAACATATTTTATTATGCTCTGCATTTTTCATTGTTTTAGTCTGCCTACCCAAAATCTGTCTGCTGTAGCTCATTTCAGTTCTCTGCCTTCTGCAATCCTTAGTTTTTATTCAAGTTGTAGCAGGCAAAGCCAACTCTCTACCAGCAATCAGTTTGTGTTGAAGCTGATGTCAAATAAAGAATGAAAATTCTTTACTTAGAAGGCAACAAACCTGTCATGGTATCCTGCTAGGAAAAAGATGGCCAAAACTTGTAAGAAATACTTTGGAAAAATCACTTGGATGGAAAGAGGTTGGTGATCTGGAAAATGCTATATAGCAAATGAGATACATACTGAGAATAAAACAAACATCTGTATGTAAAATGCCAACTTATGTCAACTCTTGAAACTACTTCCTTCAGTACTGTTGACACTAGTTATGCAAAGTTTGTGTAAACATTTGCTGGACTACGGCCTTGGTGTTTGACATTGTTAGCGTTTTACTCTTTACTAGAATGAAAAGTTAGTATTCACGTTGTTTTCTTAAGGGGTAAAGTTTAAGAGCTTATACTACAAATAGAAGAACCGCAGATAGAAGTCATGTTGTTATTAAAAGAAACGACACAGCTTTCTTTGCCATTTTCTTCAAATGATTTCAACTAGTTCTACAGAGAAATAAAATTACTCATTAGGTCACTACTTAGATATATATAGGTAGTTTTACAAGTTGTTTGGAAGTTGGATTCTGTTTCAGGTACCTATCAGTCTTCAGCTTTAGTATGTATTTTTCCCCCCCACTTGCTCTGAGTGGTGACGGTTTGACGGACTGAGACAAATACTTTGACAGTTTTCCTGCCCTATCTTTACAGGCACCATGCTTATTACATGTGGGAAAATCTTAAGTCTTTTTGAGAATACACTAGCAAAGATGAAAAGCCAATCTGTTAGACTAGCAAGTTAAATGACAGGTTTTTATTAGACTGAAGGTTAAATTTGAACCTGTTTTGAAAGACAGTGTGAAGGAGGAGATTGACTATTCCAAAAATTGCTGACAATTTTAAAAATACTTATGAAAAATTTGATATTAAACTAAATGTACTAAATTACCAACTGTAATAGCTAGAGTCTTAATTTGCTGGAAAGTCCTGGTTGCCTATGCAAACAGAATTCCTTGAGTCTGTGTGCATATGGGCTTTACTTTTAAATTAACTTTTGCAAAATGTTTTAAAAAATAGAACATAAGATGCATTCTACTGCTTTCAGAAGAAGAGAAATAGATAACGCAGTTTCTAAACAGTTTCTGATGACTTTGATCTGGTGTACATATAAAGCTAATTTAACCAGTTAGTTTTCCACTGAGCGTGTCTATTCGAAGCAGCATTTTTTATGCAGCTTGAATTTCTAGATTATTGCTTCTGACTGGTTATCTACTTGCAGTGTTGGGTCTGGTTTTATATATAAGATTCTGTGCTCAGAATTTGACGGATATATGTTTCATTCTCAGTTCAGAGATTACTAGTGTTACAGGGCTCTTCAATCTTAATTTTTAATTTTGCACAGTAATATACAAGAGTGGTACGCACTTTCGTCAGTGCAAAGTCTGAGTACCTGTCACTTCCAAGTCTAAATCTATGCATGCCCCTGCTGAGTACAGCCCTGACCTGTTTTTTGTTAAATTGTTGGGCATGCGTATCTGCTTTCATACCAAAATTAGGGATTATGTATATAGATGATTGATAGACAATATAGAAATCCTTATATAGTCATTCATTGATGACAGGCTAATTCTGAATTCCATCAGGTAACACTGAAGGTTTTTCTGTGTTCCAGTATTTTGAAAATGATTTGGAATCAGAGCAGGCTTTTTAATTGTGCAAAAATGAATCATGTTTTCCATCTGTGTTAATGCTGGATACTTCTGCTACCTTAGAATGCCACTGTTACCAAAATGGCCTAAAAATATACAAACAGTAGTTTTCATTGTATAGAACCTCTATTGAAAGACCACAAAGCACTTAAAATTCATAAGTGTAAATTGAAATAATGTGTATAGACTAAATATGAATTTAGCAATAACCACAGAGGGAGATATCTGAATATCATTTTCTTGCTTTAATTAAAAGGGAATGTAATCTTAAAAACATTTTTAAGTAGATAGTAACTTTAAAATACCAAATCTAAAAAAAAATTGTATTGGTATCTTTGGTTTCCAGGTGATCCATGGCTGGCTTATCATTTCTTCCCTCTTGCTGCTTTTCTTTTTCTCATTTATCTACCTGGGGTAAGTGAACTAAAGCATTAATGCACTATTTTTCATGTATCACTTCGTGTATGTATTTATTTTAGACTATCCCATCTTAACAAGAATGATAGTGGGTAAGCTATTGCAATAATTTTTTTAGTCTTATATAGGTTCATAGAGTACACATAAAAGAGATATTTATGGGTTTATAGTGCCTCTGATGATATTGTACAGAAGCTATCCATCACCTGCATCACCAGAATAAGCTATCTTCCACAGGGTAACTTATTCTGCCTCACAGCAGTGCTGACTTCCTTTTGCAGAGGTCCAGTGAGTGAGGAGCGAGTCTGTAGACCAATTATACGTGATAGCAATAAGGGGCATCCTGTTAACACTGTACATCTCAAAGGCCAGCTAACAAGTACAGAAGACAAACTTCCTGGAGGAAAGTATCGTGCACACTGTAACGTTCTTAGTGGCTTGATGAGTTGATAGTGGCAAAATCTGCAAAAAGCCATCACAACTGTTTCTTCCCTGGGTCAGTGGAAATCACCTGTGACTTGGTGACAACATATTTGTCTATTTTCGTTTTACTTATTGAGGGCCTTAATTAGTTTACAGTATTTGGTGTGGCAGAGTGACGTTGTTCATCCAAAAAGAAGGCTTTTTACTTTAGTGTTTGTGGTGAAGAATAAAATAGAATAACTATTTATATCTTTCTTTGAAGTTAGCAAAGTGTTTCCATTCCACAGGCAGTAGATAAGTAGAGAGAGATCTGGTTGCATGCCTTTAAAGATCCATTATAACCTCACAACTTCTTATTCTTCTGATTTTTAAAAATCATGAGTATAATCAAAATGACTGGTTTTGCAATAATGTCCTTTCCTGTCAATTTCTGCTTTGATTGAGAAGGAAATAGAACATTAGTGAAAGTTTTCAGAAGAGTGAAAGAGTTGGAGTGAAGCAAACACTGGTAAAATTATCCCCTTTGCGAAGAATAGTTAAGTACTAATTGGAGGTAGAATTTTATATTTGTTACATTGAATATGAAAATGAAAAAAAAACAAAACTCCAAAGTTTGTATCTGTAACTTGTTCCCATTGTTTTAAGCAAATGCAGTCCATATTCTTTTCCATATTTTTTTTTTTAGTGAGGTTTTTAAGACGTATAACGTTGCCATGGACTACATTACAGTGGCACTCATGATCTGGAACTTCGGTGTTGTGGGAATGATTTGTATTCATTGGAAGGGTCCACTTCGGCTCCAGCAGGCATATCTCATTATGATAAGTGCTCTCATGGCCTTGGTGTTCATTAAGTACCTTCCTGAATGGACTGCGTGGCTTATCCTGGCTGTCATTTCAGTGTATGGTAAGGTCTGGGGCAAAGCATAGTAACAGGTATTGTGATGGGAGTTTCTTCTATTCCCTGACTTTTCTGTTTGTCTGACTAGACCTTAAAAAAAAGAAAAAGTGTGTCTGTGGGGAGTATCATCCAAAGTAGTGGATAGGGTGATTACAGACTTCAGAATAAGATCACGATCTAAACAGAGATCGGTCCCCTGCAGCTAAGCGCTTTGCGTGACTGCATGATGCCATCTTCCTTCATTTTTCCAGGTCTTTCTAGATTCGTTGGGGAGGAGAATTGAAGTAATTGAAGAGACAAAGAACTAAGAGATCTATGTTGCCATTTTGATCCCTTTCATGAAGGTGGAGAACTTTTGGCTTCTCATTTTCCCAAAGAATCCTTGGAAACTAGTCTATTTTCAGAATTTAGGAGCTTGTTGTTTGGCTACAGTTCCATACAGATGTAGATCTGCCCAACTTACAATTTGCTCAGATTTGTGGATATAGAAACAACCACCTGATCCATGCCTAATAATATAATGAGAAGGAAGCAAGCAAGGATTAAAGACTGTTTTCATTGCTCAGTCATTTTACATTTAGAAGGATATAGTTGTGAGATCTGTTTCTTTTTTTTTTTTTTCCTTTACATAAAAAGAAAATTCATTTGAATTATCGCATATTATGCTTTTTCAGCATAATGACTGAGAGATACCTAGATGTAGTTTTTTCATAAAGCTTTAGAGGGCACTGGACACTTTTTCTAAGAAGGTCACCCTATATCCCAAATACTGATTTAGTTCTCAGGCAGGACTAAAATCCAGTTGCTTAGAATTAAAACATTACAGCTAAGTGTATCCATGAAGATGTACTCATAACTTGAATTTTTTTGGAAGCACGTAAATGTGATGAATGTGTACTCTGAAAGTCACTGATAAAGACTGAGAACCTGTCCAGAATCGTACCCTTCATGTAACTGGAACAAATCTTAGTATTCCAAGCATTCAGGCTCTGTTCAGTGTTTGCAAAATGAAATAACTCTTCAGATCCTATTCCAAGACCATAACGTGGTTGTTTTGTGTAAAGGAGGATAAGTTTCAAAACCCATGACCCCACACTAAGAATTCTTTACTTGAGCAGGACCAGCAATGGTGCTAGGGCGGTTAGCGCAGGTGCAGGAGGAGTGCTTTGTGCAACATACAGCTCCTGACAAGTAAGCTGCTCCTTTCGGTGTCAGATACTGTTTCAAATAAACTTAAAAGACATACAATGAGTGGAGAACTGCGAAAGATTGTAGGGAGGCTAATATGTAAATGCTACAGCTTTCTGTCCAAATATGCAAGACAAGGGAAAGTAGCTGAGGTAGTTTGTGGAGTTGCAAATTTCATTAACAAACCATCAACATTCAGGTGAGAAAACAAATAGACCATCTGATAGATCAGTTTTCTTAATGCTGTGCTTTGATCTGAGTAACTTGTACAGTCATCCTATTTTGTAAATAATTGCTTTTCAGTTAATTTTCACTTGTTCACCCTGTTTCACATACTGTCCCATGAACGAGAATTGAGTGAAGCAACAAAAAGCCGCTGTTTTTTTCTTGTGCTAAATATGCTTTGAACACCTCTCAAATCTATGCAAACACAGCATTTTTCTGCAATGCTTAATAAACCTGTTTTTTTTAACTCTTCACATGCACTTTTACTTTTTTCCTCTGTAAATAAGAATAAACTGGCAGTCATGCCTATTTCATAAAAGTTATATAAGCCTCACTTACATGTTGTCTTAAAATTTGTTTTAGCGTTAAACTTGGGTTAAGAAAAGCTTTGATAAGAGAAAGCAAGCTTGGGTATTTGCAAGATGTTAGTTGAATAGTGGCTTTCATGAATTATTTGCTTTCAACTTGCAAATCAACACACAGACACTGATATATTTGCAGTTGCATATATTTTAAGTGAGAAACATCACTCTTTTAAATTTGTATACATATTACAGTAATATGCAAAATAGGTTGTACAACTGAGAATATTACAAAGTATTCCTGTAGGATACTGACTTGTGGCTAGTGGCTCTGTCAAAAGTCTGTGATCAGGGTGACATTTTATCTTATTACCAGTCTCTGCAAGTGTTACAGAAAAAACATCTTAAATGTATGTTTGCAGTGATGTAAGATCTGTTTGCTCTTCCTTCCAGATTTGGTTGCTGTCCTATGTCCTAAAGGTCCTCTTCGTATGCTAGTTGAAACAGCTCAAGAGAGAAATGAAACTCTCTTCCCAGCACTTATTTACTCCTGTAAGTATATTTCATTAAATATTTACATTAAATACTTACAGTCACCCACTCAGCTGAAGTGATTATTCTCATTTTTCTCTGTTTTAACGTGATGGAATTCTTAGTCTGTTTACTTGGGCCTCAGTTTTCCTTTCATTGTTGATTCAAAAATGTGGAACATCATCTGGCTAAGATCTTTCAAAATAAAACCCAGCATGTTTTGTTACAAAGTAAATGGTAATATACCTTCTTTTGGCCAAAGTAGTATGTAAATAGGCTGCGAATCAACCTATTCAAAGGGAGTACTTGTTTTTAGAAAATATTTATCAGCTTTCAGTGCTTAAATAACCTGTGTGTTAGTGGAAGGAAAGGGAGAAGTTGCCAGGAAGGGATTTGTTTACAAAACTATTTTCTTCAGGGCTTGTCTTTTTTTTGGTATGTTGTTTCTCCTTGCAGTTATGAAAAATAACCTACTGAATGCAAATTGCTGTTATGACCTATGTACTAATTAGTACATGACTCCACTGTTTCTAAAGTTCCATGTTGCTAGTGGTAATCATGGATAAACAGTGAAATAGGTTAATCATAAATCATGATGCCTGTAAAGGAGGAAGCATGTTATAGACTGACTGGCTACTTCAGGGGCGAGTTTACGGAGGAGAAAGTGAAGGGCTTTCTTTATCTGTCGCTCTTGCTGTGTTTTACTGATACTGCTCATAGCTGCCTGTTGTTCTCTTTTGTGGGAGGAGAGGTTAACTCTGAGAAACAACAAACTTGAATTCAAATACATCATTTAAGTGCGACAACATTTCTTTACCTCCAGATTGGAGAATTCTTTGTGATGGTGGGGGCAGAGAACAATTAACTTTGATGCAGATACTGCCTCTGAATTGAAGTTACATCAGTGCCAGTCTTGGTAGACCTTTTCACTTGCAGATAAAGGAACTGATTAATGGAAAAAAAAGTAGAGAAATTGTTGATTCAGATTTTCAGAGTGGGCCTCTGAATTACAGAAGTAATTTTTCTGGCAACAGCTGTTGCAATTTTTTTCAACACCTAGTAAGAATAAAACCTTTATTCACCAAATTCTGTAAAGGCATGTTGTGGCTGGTACTGGCTGTGTTCCAGATATTACTGTGCTTTAATGAGAGTGAAATTGCCTGTTAGAAAAGATAGTTGTATCAAAAAAAAAAGAAAGAAAAAGAATGGATTGATGCCAACACCATCTCAGAATTGTATACATCTGAGGATGTGATTAGCAATGCGGTTTTGTTTTTATTTAATAGCAACAATGATATGGCTAGTGAACATGGCAGAGGAAGATCCAGAAGCCCAACGGAAAACTTCAAAAAACTCCACTTATGATAAACAAGGTGAGTTTTTCTTTGACAAGCTTTTATAGTTGTTGTTTTATTGGAATATATGTTTATGGAGAGTTGTTTCTTGGCTTTTAAAATGTCCTGGTTGCTGTAGAAGAGTGAAAGCCTGGAGGCCTTATTAGGAATGATGAATCTGTCAAGACTTCAAAAATTGCTCACTTATTGTGCAGTTAATGTTCTTGCATTCATTTTTCTGGAATCCAGGATATTGGTGGTGAAATGACTTTCAATAGACAACTATTGACTGAGCTCAATTGTCTGTCAAATTGGGATGATATAGTATAACGTTAACTCATTTATATTTATATTAAACAGAAATGTGTCTAGCCCTCTGGGCTATGCAGCTAGTGTTTAAAAACATGGGGTATGTTTATTTTACATGTGTTATTAAAGCAGAGCAGAGTTTCTGAATGCAACACGCTTGAAGGGGTGTATGTATATGTAATTTTCAGTAAAGTTTTCTATTTTACTGGAAAATTAAGCTGTTAACAGTGACTAGAGAAGCTAATGAAATACTAGAGTTTATTCCTTAAACTGTGATCTTTCAATTAGGTCACCACAGAACTTCCACTCTGTTGTATCAAAGTATTCCTGAATATCAGGACTGGAGTGCAACATGTAGGTGCTATGACTGCAGAGTGCAGATTGACTCCTGATTGTTTAAATAAGTATTACAATCCTAAGTGAGAATGTCTTGTAATGGTGTGTGCTAATGTTGGATGTTGCTAAATATTATGGAATACTTCTTTTTTTTTCCTCATTCTTCTATGATCTTACATGTGGAGACATTGTCACATTTTAGAAGGCACGTTTTTGAAGTAGATCTTAAATGTCTGTCTTCCTTTGAGCTCCGGCAAACCAGGCTCAGAATGAAGGTGCTGAAGCAGATGATGGTGGCTTTAGTCAGGAATGGCAGCAACAAAGAGACAATAGAATAGGACCTATTCAATCAACGCCTGAATCACGAGCTGCTGTTCAGGCTCTACCCAGTAACTCTCAAACCAGTGAAGACCCTGAAGAACGTGAGTATGGAGTACCAATAGCAAGCTGAAGAGCTGCTCTTGCTCGTGATCAATACTGTCATGCCTCATAGAAACGGATGGAGTTGCTTTTTTGTAGCTTTTGGTTTTGCTGCAGAAGTGAGTAATATTGGCCAAACTGATCTTCAGACGCAAACCTTTAATAGCACAAGCTGCTTTCAGACCATTATACAGCCAGTTGCGTTAGCTTCTGTCTTTGTCATGCAGTGTTCTGCTGTGTGTCACCTCTTGGATTTTAGGCCCTGTAGATGCAGTCATTAACTTTTTATGCTGCAACATTAAACTACTGTAATCCACTCTGCACAAAGCAATGTTTAAGACCTAATTGGAGACTGAAATGAATGCAGAATGCCGTGGGCTTGCTTATTTTTCTCCAGCATCTTGCTGAGGTGCAGTATTTTTGGAGAGCATATACTCAAATGTCTGTTTTAATGGAGTCGTGATTTCCAGTTGGAGTTTAAGCTAGTATTAGATTTGCAAAGCTCTAAATAAAATTAGGGTCTGCCTGTCTAATAAACTTCTCAACTGTTTCCTCTGATTCTCAGGTGCTCCTCTGTTTAAAAATACAGACACTTCTACTTTAAGAACAAATTTAGAATTTACTTTGTCCTCAACATTCAAAATTCGGAGTGTGTTGCAAATCCATTTTCATTTCTAGAGCTGAGTAAAGTAATGTTAAGATGCAAAAATTTTAGGAATTAGGCTATGTTAATTATTTAACTGGTTAACTAAAACTCTTGTCTGGCCTGACTAATAATTTTCTCTTTTCTTTATTCCTACAGCAAATAGTAATGACAGATGTGCAGTGATTGAGTCTGACTTGTAAGCCAGCATTAGCTTACTAGAAGTTTGGAGCAGCTTATTAGAAATTTGGAGACTTCACTTGTGTGGAAAGAGTTAGCTAGCAGTTGCCTTTGCTTATTGTTCTGTCATGCTGAAAGCAAGCATCCAAGTTTTGTTTCAGCAGTTAAAGGGTGTTTTAGTGCTTAAGAGCTTTTCACGCACTGTTCTAGACCATATATTGGAGGCCTGCTAAAAGACAGTAGGGTTGCCTTTTTTCTTTTCTCCCTTTTTTCTTTCTTTTTTTCCCCCAATGATTAACCAGGCATACACTTCTGTTTTGATGGTCTTGAGTTCCTCTTCGAACTCTACAGTGAGTTTTGAGCTGGACTGTAATTGGTGAGAAAGTGAAAATAGGCCAAATGAAAACAGCTGGTGACCTGGTGTTAGCCTCTCTGACTTAATGTCTTGGAATAAAAGCTTAGAAAGTGATCTGGCATTCAGGAAATCTTCATTTTTTAATTCTTTTTTTTCCAGAGATAATTGAGTATTATGCTCCTAGAGTTGTTGCTAAGGTGGTAATTACTATTGAAAAGAATGAGACGTTAACTCATGAGTTTTCATAAACCTCACATCTTGGACTAAATACGTTCTTTTTTTGCCTCTGTGATATGCTCTGTAATTACACACAAGTGCTTTTTAGAAGAACCTTATTAAGAATGCTGTTGGAAAATTGGGAGGGCACTGGAATATTTTGCTGAGTATAGGTTTCTAACTGGCAAATAAAGCATCATCTGCAAGTGACTTATTTTCCCCCTTCCTCGGCCACCTTAAAGGAATTGTACTTCAATATTCTGTTAAATATGACATGTCAGCCAAAAGTGGACACCTCTCCAACAAATACAGTTACAAATATCTGAGTCTGAATATACTGCATTTGCATGTATAGGAGACTAGGAACACAGAAAAACTCTAATTATAGGATGAATTGAGCGGTGTAATGTTCCTAAGCCATCTTGTTTCACAAGAGTTTTTCTGTATCATTTGATTCAGGAGTGGTACTAGTTTTGAAAATAAAATGTTCTTATTAGCAAGTCTTGTTGATACTTAATGTAAATCTGTATTATTCTCTGACAATTACTGATATGTAATATTAGTAGACTATCTAGTACTTAATGCTGCGATATATTAACTTTTGCAGGAGGAGTAAAGCTAGGTTTAGGAGACTTCATTTTCTACAGTGTCCTTGTTGGCAAAGCCTCTGCAACAGCAAGCGGGGACTGGAATACAACTTTAGCGTGTTTTGTGGCCATATTAATTGTGAGTATAATGTAATATGATAATAAGGATAGTTTTTATTGTTCATCAGGGACAAAGTCATAACTGCTACATTTTTTCTTTGGAATTTGTTTATTTGGTGGCCTGAATGAAAACTGATGAGGGCTTCAGCTGTGACTTGCATTGGCTGTACATCCATCATTTACGCCTTTAGTTTAGGAATGCTGTAACTGTATCTTGTATTTCTGTGGAGTTTGTGTTTATATAGATAATCTTTTGCTTGTCAGAGTTCCCTAATTTCTCCCTATGCTTTTGTTTGTTGTCTTCCCCTCAGGGTCTGTGCCTTACACTTCTGCTTCTTGCCATCTTTAAGAAGGCCTTACCAGCGCTTCCAATCTCCATAACATTTGGGCTAGTTTTTTACTTTGCTACAGACAACTTGGTGCAACCCTTTATGGACCAGCTAGCGTTCCATCAGTTTTATATCTAGCACACTTGATGCTGGTATTCTATGGGTATTTGTAGCAAATCTGGGAGGAGGAAAAATGTTTTTTCCCTCAGTTCTCAAGTGAGACTGAAGTTTAATACTCAAGATTCCAAGCCTGAATCATTACAACTTCCTCCGATGGTTTTTGTTTGTTGGTTTTTTTCTGTCCTGAGACAACTGCTGCACTGGGCACCATACGAATTTTCCTGTGTGAAAGTGGCTTCTTCCTGATGGTCAGTCTAAACCGGGTGCTATTATATCAGAGGTAATCTGATATACGTATCTCTGGTAAGGACCACCTGTGTGAAAATTGCTAATGCTTCCACCAGCAATGTGATCTCTTACCACAGGTTGATTATTTTCACAGCATTAAGGGTGCTCAGGACTTCCTTGATGTTAACAGAGGAAGCTGACAAATCACACGGAACTTGTCCCTATAACCGCTTGAAGAGAGAGAACCCAATTCAGACTCCTTCAGCAGTGATTTTTTGACAGCAGAGTCCTGACTGCTTTGTGTAGTGAGAAAGGACTTCGTAGCAATTTGACAAAGGGAGAAAGTACTGTCACTCTAAGAGTGCTCCACCACATCATAGCCTCTGTGCCTGAGAGTGCTTGGTTTAGTAAATTTAAAAGCTTTTTTATTTTTCTCCCTCCACACTGGAATCAGCGCCTCTTCTCAGTTTTAACACTTCGTATCCTCAAGCATGGAGTGCACCTTCTGTACACCTGTTCCAGTTTATGTAGCTACTTAGACTGGATTATTTGGCATTAGTGGATCTTAAGGTCCTAATTTGGATCTTAGATTCTAAAAGGTTAATAAACTACATTGAAAAGCAATTTCAGGACTTACTTTTTGTGCTCTTGCAGATCATTTTGCTAGAACACCATTTCAAACCCTGTGTTTAAGAATAGTCACTAGCAGCACAGACTGCATTGGTATATGTTTCTTTTATTGAAATTCTTACGAAATAAATAGACATTTGCAACAATCCCAGATGGAGTTTAGCTTGCCAGATCTAGAGGCCAAAGTGCTATTAGTGGCACTTCAATGCATCACTGAAATTTTTCTCTTCAAAAATGTGGTTTACAGTTCTGTTGACCTGAATGGTCACTCAACCATCAAGACCTCAGGTTGGGCAGGTGTTTTTGTTTTTCATGCAGTATCTTTATTGGTGAGGATACTTAAGTTAGGTGAGACATTACTTTATGTTACCAAGGAGCAAAATTTGTGGCCCTCTTCACTTTAATTACCTCTCCCATGAGGAACAGAAGACTGGAGAAATGAAAGACAACTCAAAATCACTGAAAAGAAGATTGGAGATTTTTGAACTTCTTGCAAGAAAAAGAATCTATTCTAACCTTAAAACTGCTAAACCCTGTTTTCTTCTTCATTTGAAAGAACTCATTTATGAATAATTGCTTGGAAATGAGACTCATGTGAGATGAAGTTGTTTTTGCCATAGGCTCTTACTCTGTACAAGTCTTTCTCTCTCCTCTTCTCTCTCTCCTCTTCTCTCTCTCCTCTTCTCTCTCTCCTCTTCTCTCTCTCCTCTTCTCTCTCTCCTCTTCTCTCTCTCCTCTTCTCTCTCTCCTCTTCTCTTCTTCCTCCCCCCACCCCCGAGGGAGGCATAGGGAGTGAATACTATTGACGGGCATTCCATTTTACTTGCATCTTCATACAGGAGTCCTTGTCAAGTAGAACAACTGTCAAAATCCTGACACAAACTCCTGCTGTTTTTCTGGGGGTTTGTTTCAGTGCCTATAGATTCAAAGGACTGAGGCATCACAGATGCTCACCAACCATTGCCCAAGTAAGGGAAGAAAGGCTGTGATGTATAAATCTGCTTTAAAACCAAGAAAGGCATACTTTGATTGTCCTTGGAAATGTCTTTCTTTTCCAGTATGACTTGCTAACTGTAGTGTTAGCACTTACATTTACATAAAATATATTGTCTCGTCTCCTCTAAAGTACTTTTATTCATCTCATTTATGTGTTGATTCGTCGTGGGTAGCATTAATAAAGTAACCATATCAAAATTGCTTACACTGGCTTTTCAAGTCAAACTTGCTTCTGTTTTCTAGCTTAAGTCACTGTTCCATATTTTGCTGCAATGGAAGTCTGACTTCAAACAGGTGTTTGGGATTTTTTTACAAGACTTTGAGTTGTTTTTATACTATGGTAACTTGCCCCTTTCCTGAGCATTATATCTAAGAAAATTCCCTTCTGTGTTTTATTGGGCATCCTAACCATTGTTTCATTGTATAGAACAGGTTTGCTAAGAGTTGGCATCACTAGCATCTGTTTGCATATCTGAGCCAATTCTCAGTTAAAAGTTGTTACTTAAATGCACCAGTCATCTTTATTGTTTGTTTTTGGCTTAAATATGCACCATGGGAGCACTGGCTCCATTAAGAGTTACTTTAGAATCTGTAGAAATACACAAAAGCCTTTCCACATACTTGAATGGGTGTTAAATGTACAACCCAAGAGCAAGCTCAGAATCTTCAAACACTAAATTTCCAGTCTTCCACTCTCCAGAGCTGCTTCTGCTATCCTGAAGTTTTAATTTATAAACTAGTGTGGAGTTACGGTGGTGGAGACTGTAGAATTTATACTCACAGAAACTGTTCAAGTTTATGTATTTGAATCTCAAAATAAATTCAAAAGGGAAATCTGCTTTTCAAGCCCAGGCCAATATATATTAAAATACCAAGTCTTATGCACACATTCAAAAACCAGGATGAAATTCTCTAGATGTGCCCTCTTGTGCCAAATCATGATAGTTCATGTTCCAAATGAGATCTTGCAACTAAAGATCATCTCAATACTTGGGTCCATAAGGTTCAGTTGAGGATAGTTTTGCATTTGGGTGGTTACTACATAAGCGTGAAGGTTGTGTCACTTCTCTCCTTTGTCTTAAAACGCCAGTCTAATTTGAGATCATGAACTGTTTCAGCTTGGTTAGCTTGGTATAATTGAAAGACTTCAGATATGTAGTCTTTGTTTTTGAGAGAGTTTTCATTATTATTTAATTAGTATGTTAATGGCAGCACGTTAGACTGTAGCTGTGAAAGAACTGTTGTGTAACTCTAGTAGCTAGATCCATCTCCCTTGTGCCCAAGCAGACTGACTGGTAACCCTTGTGTGACTGTTTCAGTAGTCGTCCTTTGAAACTGGATAACATGATAGCTTTCTCTTCCCTTTCAGCTTACATCCACGATTAGTCTCCTCCTTTGGCTAAGCTTTAAATAAATAAATGAGAAAGCATAAGACCAAGTTACAGATTTGCCTAAAAACCAGCCACTTTCATTTCTCCTTTTTTGTGTTGGGGGATTTAATCCAGAGCAAAAAGACTTCTTGTAGCAAAGGTATATGACGCTGTATGGCTTTTGTGGTGGCACTCAAATTCAAATGTCATCTGGGTGAGGTGAGTCTTGAAGGTATGCACTTGTTATTGCAACACATTCAGAATAATTTTGACTGGGCAGATGATGACTTCTTTGAGCCAAATAATCAAGGGCTGTCCTCCACTAAAAATGGCTGTTCTGAATGTACAAAGCAGACCCTGATGATTTCAGGCATAGGACACTGGTGCTTCTTGGATATGTAGATATATATCTGTACCTATAGAGATGTAGGTATATATTATATGCACTCTGGGCCTCTGGTTGACAACTGTTCTGCCGTTAGTGCAGTCAAGAATTAAATATGCAGGAGTACATTTTGGGTGGGCGGTACTGTATGAAGAAACTTCACAAAATGCTTTATTTAAAAAAAATAATTACTTTTGGCAATGATGCTCTTGAAACGAGTTGAATAGACTGTGGAACATGTCTGCACTGTGATTGCATCTCAGTGGTAACTTGGTCATTGGGAATGGTGAAACGTGAACCAGATGGAATTCTTTTACACTCAAAGCATTTGCTGTTTTCTTTTTTACAAACACTGGTTTGTACATAATCTGAATTGAATGTGAATGTTTTTTAAACACCTTTCCAGTTCTTGATAAGATACGTTTTTGATAGATTATTGCAGATTTTCCTGTATTTGTCTAATTATTAAAATAAAAACTGCATGGATCCTGACTTGACTTGCCTTAACCATATTATTTTAAAGCCATCACTTAAAGCTGTTGGAGGCCTGAACACTGTAGCTATTTTTAGTCAATATTTAATGAATTAAGATTCCTGTCTTAAAACACTTAAGTAGCCGCTTTATTTCCCAGCGGAAAAGCTTCAAACTGATGTCTGTAGAAGTACTTTCTTCTAAAAGCTACTTTTTGTGTTCATTTAAAGAGTCAAAGCCTGTTGCAAAAGCACCCATGAGGTATAATAAGGCATGAAAAAAATGATATGAGATTATACTCAAACACCAGCTGGCACAATGAAGATCTGTGTTACCCAGGAAGAATACATAGGATGCTCAGAAAGAAAACACTTCATGAACAGTAATGTGTGGTGGTGTTTTGGTGTTGATTTCACATCAATACGATTGAAAAGCTTTTCCCTAATAGCATATTTTTTTGTTGTTTTGGAGAAGCATTCACTGCAAAGTTCAGATTTGTCTGAGTTGACTGACTGCTGTTGCAGATGTTTCTTTGGGGGATTGGCTTGTCTCTGCATGGAAGACCTAAAGAAAGGTCCATCCTGACAAGTAGAAAGTCAAGCACAGGTGGTAGGAGACCTGCATGGATGAGCAAGGAGCTCCTAACGGAACTCAAACATGAAGTGTAGAAGAGGTGGAAGCAAGGGCAGATGACCCAAAAGGAGCATAGAGTTGCTTTATGATCTTGCAGGGCTATGGTTAGGAAAGCCAAGGCCCCTCTGCAGTTGAATCTGGCAAGCGATGTGAAGGGCAAGAAGAAAGGTTTCTACAACTATGTAACAGTAAAAGAAAGACTAGGGCAAAAAGATGCCCCCTCTGCTGAATGGAATGGGGAAACTTGTGACAATGATGTGATGGAGAGGGCTGAGGTACTTGATGTCTTCCTTGCCTCAGTCTGGATTGGTAAGACTGGCCTTAAGGAATCCCATACCCCTGAGACCAGCGGGAAAGTCTGGAACAAGGTGGACTTACCTTCAGTGGAAGAGGCCGGGTTAGGGAACATGTAGCAAACTGAAGTCTATTAGGCCCAACAGGTTGCACCCATAAGTGCTGAAGGAGTTGGCTGATGTCATTGCGAGGCCACTCTCAATTGTCTTTGAATGGTCATGGTGGTTGGGAAAGGTTCCTGAAGATGAAGAGAGCAAATTTCATTCCTATCCTCAAGAGAAAGAACTACTGGGAAGCCACAGGCCAGTCAGCTTCACCTCAGTCCCTGGGAACTTGACAGAGAAAATCATCTTGGAAAGCACTTCCAAAGACATGAAGGACAAGAGGATGACTGGGAGTAGTTAACATGGATTTACAAAGGGGAAATCATGCTTGACCAATCTCATTGCCTTCTGCAATGAGGTGACTGGCTTGCTGGATGAGGGGAAGGCAGTTGATGCTGTTTA